CTTCAAACTTAAAAGAATTCTTACCGTATGTTACTGTTTTGACCCTTGGGACATTTACACTTTTTTGATACCTAAAAGAATAATTGGAATTTTTAAATTGAATTAAATCATTTATATATGGTGGTGATTTTCCGTACAGGCATTTAAACACTTCTTTGGCTATTATTTTAATTCTTGACAAATGTAAAGTAGGCATATTAACTTTTTTTAATAATGTGTCATATGAAGAATTAAAATCATTAAATACTATTTTTAGAGCTCTATGCTGGAGTTTTTCAAGTTTTTCTGTGTTTGTTTTGGAGCAAAAATGCCAGACAAGGGGACAGTAGTTAAAATTAGATCTGATAAAAGATTTGTAAATAAGAAGAAGACATTCTGAATTTAAAAATTTCCTAATTCTTAAGAGCACATTTTTTTAATCATCGACCAAACCCCATGTTTTGACGTGACGTCATTAACGTTATACAAACATAGTGTAAAGACGCGCTAAATGTTAGTGTTGCACTATAGGCTCGTCAATGAAAAGTGACTCTTATTCACTTTCAACGGTCTTTATTTGGGTATGTGATAAATAGAATATCAAATTCGTGTAAGTTCAATACTGGATATATTGCACTCGTTGAATAAAATAATATTATGCTCGCCAGAGACTCGCATAATATAATTCTATTCAACTCGTGCAATAAATTCAGTATTGAACTTACACTCATTTAATATCCTCTATTTGCATTCGAATTTCGGCTTTACGTCGGCAAAATACCCGAGTATCCGACAATCATACTAATAGCAGCGGACACATGTTACTAAATTGGGTTTTGTGGAATTTAGACTGTAGCTCTCAGGATTCAGCCGGAAATTCCGAGTTTGAGTTGGAAAGAGCATTTACATTAGCACTAATACCTGCGGACACTTTGGGACAATTATGCAGTACCTGTACAAGTTATAGCACATTTTGAGCGAGTAATTCAGTATCAGTACCAGTTTTTGAAAAATGAATGCAGTGTCAATTTTACATGTCTGATTATGACCCAGCTATGTGAGGGGCCAGTTACACAGACGGTCGGTCCCAAATCGGTCATTTAATTTTAAATTTACTCGCTGTTATGATCGGTTGCCATGCGGGATTTTTTTCTAGTTTTCTGTGTAAACGGCCATCGGTGACAGAAAGCAAACTCAAACGGGGTTTGGTCGATGATTAAAATGCTGAAATACTATCGGTTTTCATCGTTTGTAAATCGGAGCTAAATCGGGCGTAACGCTGATTAATCGGTGTTTGATAGCTAGTCATCATTGGTTAAACACTTTCCGTCAGATATAGCCGGTGATTCATATTTGGTTATCTTTGTCCGATCGGCGATATCGGTGATTAAGAGCTTGCAAATAGGTTGCTGTCGGTTATTTGTAAAATATTTTCACCGATTGAGAATTTTAAACATGTTTAAAAATCCCAATCGGTAATTTTTCACCGATGAAACTTATCTTTCCCCAATAGCAGTTGATAGGTGGAAAACAGGTGACCAATAGGTGATGTCGGTGTTAAACACGTTGTCATCGGCTCACTACATAATTTGGCTAAAAAAACTACCGATCAATCGATGGCTCTGTGTAAATGGGGTGTGAGGGAAGCACCTTAACCACATATAGGCACGACTTCTTCAACTTATAAATTTATGTCAAGGAAAATTACGGAAATAACAAGGAAATTAAGATAGAAATACTTGTGTTCACTATTCTCGAAATTAAAATGCTATAGATATGAATCTTGTTATATAATTATGATGTTGGTGATTTTCCAAAAACAACTTTAAGCCACATTATGCTTCAGATATGCTTTTTATTTCTCAAAATATTAATATTTTTGGTGTACTGTAAAAAAGCAGACAACATATCCTAAGGGTGATTATGCAATATTCAAGTAGATATACTGGAACCTCCCAACTAGAAATATCCAAATATAAAGAAATTATAAAAGTAACACAAACACAATGATAATGCTGTGCTGAACCGGAAATATAGCCTCACAGATTAATGTAACGTTACGTGGCATTTTTTATAAACGATATTAAACAAACAATATCTATCAATTTGATGTTGTGCTTATGACGACACACACATATTACTGCTTTAAACGGTGCTATGGGATGTGAACGTTGACATAAACATAAATATTGGCATCCACAAAATGATGTCTGTTGCATTTTGTAACCGTAAAAAGAATTGTAAATCATGAAATACGTCTTGTAAACAGTAGATAATGTATTAAATCGAACATACATAATTATAAATGATATATCCAAGTCATGGAACAATGTACAATACGCGGAATAGAATGTCAAACATTGATTTAAGAATGAATAACAACAGTAACCTGATATGACTAAGTTCTATATTCATTAAGGGTGTAACGGTTTACCGGTATACCGATATATTGCAATATGAAAAATAAATTTCGTACCGCGGTACGATTTTTGGAAAACCGGTATTTTATAAAAATCATAATTTTCAATTAATTGCCTTCTAATTTTGTACAAATTTCACATAAAATCTTTAATTGGCGAATCTTGTTGGCGCCAACGTAAGATAAAAGTATCCGACAACTAGTACACTTAAAAGTCAATAAGCGGCTGCATAATTTACATAAGCGGCCCAGATGTGAAAAGGGCACACGCGACTAGTTTTGTGTTTATCAAAATTGTTGTGACACTTTACTTTCTATTTATTCCTTACATTTTTATTAAGTTTCTACTAAAAATATATACATATAATAATAATATATAAATGTTACTCCATCTTTACATAACATATTCACGACAATACGTATTGCGCTTCAGCAAAATGGCAATATATTGCAATACGGTTTTTGCTGTATTGTTACACCCCTAATATTCATTGTAACATAAATTCATGACTTAGACATATTATGTACTGAACGACTTTGTTGTAATAACCAGAAACAAAAAAAAAAACATCAATTCTGATTCATTAGTATTATTATAGAATAAGATGGCATTAATTGATCAATAGTAACGTTAGCCCGATAGTAGTAGTTTTCCGCCTTAGGAGTCTGAAACAATACGAGGTAAGTGTTGACTAAGCTGTTTGAATGACCGTTTATATTTTTTCAACACGAACTAGGAAGATTATAATATAATTATTGTAAAACGCATGACATTGTATGTGCACGTCTTCAATTATGATTCTCGTATTGAAAATAAACAACAGGTTTATCGTGAACAAAATACCTCGAAATTAGTAAAGATTACAAACACGAAATGGAAATTTTCAAATTAGAATTACAATGTATTTGTTTTTATTCAAGCTACATATGTAATACTTCACCGTGGTGCAGAGGTAGCGCGCTCGTTTAGGGTGTGAGAGGCCAAAGGTTCAAATCCTAGTCGAGGCAACTTTTTTGTGTGTGTCTTTTTTAAGGAAGTAGCCACGATATGCAAGGATAAAGTGTGGCTGTCATTTTTTGATGCAACTCTAGTCATGCAAAATTCCTTATGTATCAATCTCAAACTGTTATAGACGCAGTCGTTGCGTAAGATTAATTATAGTATATAAAAATAAACTTATACAGGAAAATACATACAGATAGGCAGTATGATTTGGATTGCAAAGATCAGAAAATACCACAGAGGTTGCAGCCCTTTGATTTGACAAGCTGTCAGCCCGTGTTAAATATAGATAAAATAAAGATAAGATACACAATTACAATTTTAATGTTTATGCTTCGTTGTATATTTCAGAATAATGTTATAAATGAAAAGTCCGGTTTGAAGAGAACACATAGCATAGGCGCTGTTCATGGCCCGACACCTACAGAATGCCATACCGAAATCAAGATACAACCGTCTCAGGACATTTATACAATATTCCCTGATATTGTCATTGAAAATAAGTCAACGTCAATCTGGAGAAAATATTCCAGCAAGAAGAAAACTGAATTTGATCACGAATACATTGAAAAGGAACTAGACCAAACTAACGAAATTAACAGCGAATATAACAAAGAAAATAGTATGCAAAAAGACGATTTCCTGGTGAAGTCTGACGACAAAGAGGAAAGTGACATGTCGCAGACAAACACGATTCGTGAAGAGAATCTCGAAATGAAATATAATTTTTTAGACACTCCAGGTGTAATTGCACAAAATAAAGAAAATATCGTAAGAGAGAAAAATTGTTAAAATACATTAGAAGAACTTACCTCCGAGGGCATTAATTGAATTGCATAAAGATCCTAGCAAGATGTTGATTACAATTTGTGTCACAAGATCATAAAGATTGAAATAGCTGCACTACTAATCTATGTATCCGGATATACATCTGGCAAAAAACAATTGTTCAAATAGTGTGTGTGGTTCTTTTTGTAATGGAGTATTAGTAATGAAGGGCAGCGCACAAATAGTTCTATTACATGTTATTAATCATGTTTCACAACGAAGACAGCTTTAAATCTTTGGTGGTTAAAAACTTTAGAAAGAGAAAATGAGTTTTATAACGTTAAATGGTGGTTTTTGGGCATGTTATAGAAGCATATTACCTGAAGAAAGATGCTCTGTATCTAAAATTATTTGTGAATAAAGTAGCAAACTGTAAACAAAGTTAGACTTTCAGAAATACTAGATCACAATAACTGAACAAATTGCTTAAAAGCAACAAAGGCAAAGGATGGCAAACGAGTCAACTACAACAGGACAAAAAAAGGCTTTTGAGAAATAAAAATAACAGCATTTCTGGGGCATAATTGGCCTTTAAGGTGTATATAATTGTATATATTTTGTACTGTTGAAATGTTATGTATATAAACAATACACAAATAATAATTAAACGCTATATTTTTTGTGCCTTCACACAACACCAGCCCAGAGTGCTAGTGTGGATCACACAAGGGCAACATAACTTAACAGGGTTCCAAATCTCTATTACATGTATATCACTTTATTTCAACCTGTTTATGAACTACACTGGAAATGCAATATAAAACGAAAAACTGACCAAACAAATTTTATTTTCAGTATTAATGCTCCCGTAAGAACAGAAAATTGTTAACATTAAAATAAATAAGATAAATAAGATATTTTTTGAAGCTGCCGAATATCATTTGGCAGTAAGCTAGCCTTGCTATTCAACAACAATGAGCAAGGACTTTTTCTCATTTTAGCAGTCAGTTTTTGGACAATATAATTAAGCAAAATAATATTCCTTAAGGAGATATTTTCTTACTTTATGCTCTTCATATATTTGATATAATCTTAATTAAGTTCAAGTGTTTTTATGTCCTTTCAAAATTCACTGTGATGGGACATTGTTACGTTATCCTATGTAATCCTAGGCAAACAATAATCCCGAATAAAATTTGCATATACAGGGGCATAACTATTATTAACGACCTAATAACAGAAACAAGAGTGATCAGTAATCACATGTGTCATCTGATGACAATTGCATGTTGTAGCTACTGAGAAGCAGGGACACAAAAACGCATCAAGGCGCATAACTCAGCCAAAAATCATTCAACCTAAACAACCTGTGTAATATGCACAACTACTTGAGCTATTGATCAATCCTGTAAAAATTCACTGAAATTGAATTAAGTGTTCTGGACAAAATTTAAAAATAAAATCATGAAAGGGCCATAACTTGGAGAAAAAAAATCATTGAACAGGAAACTGCTGACCATATGCACAGCTAAACTTGGTACTGATCATTCCTGTAAAATTTGGATGAAATTGCACCAGTTGTTTTTGAGGAGTAGTCCTGTCAAGTTTAGTGAATGACGGACAGACAGATGGACAGAGAAGTGATCCTTATATGTCACAGCTACTCTGTAGCAGGCAACACAAAAATCAAACCTGTGTTTTGATTATATACTTACATGCTTAATATAAACACAATCATTGAAATCCTTCAAAAGTTATAGTACAGAAACAGAATGTCTACCGACAGATGGGTGCATGACAAATAGGTACTTATATGCTTACTCAATTGTTCTGCCAATAGTTCTTTTAGCCATATAAACATCTTACTGAATAATTAGAATCAAAATATTTAATGTTACAGAAACCATCCTTATCAGCATAAAATTTCACTAACATTGAACTTTGCCTACAGTTTCATTTCAAACTAAAGATACGGTTAATGGCAAACATTTTAATTGAATATGTCTTGGGGTAAATATAAAGGTATAATGTAGATATTCATGCATATCTAGTGAAGACCTTGAAATCTGTATATTCATTTCGTTTATTCTGACAATCAACAATAAACAAACCTCAAGTAGAATCATTTTAAACTACACATTATTAAAAGTCAATTTTAGTCATATTTTTATCAACTGTCTCAACAAATTTTGGGTCCTGTTCCACTCGAGATTTTCTCCAAAAGTTGAACTTTGTCTTCTTTGATGTTTGTGTCACAGGTTGGCTGCTTGCTTCTGGGGACTCAAACTGTAATGGTACAGGTTAAAGTTGAACAAGAGATGTTTGTAAAACATGAAATTTCTCACAAATGGTTAACTAATTTGTCATGTTTCTAACCTACCCACTAAATTTGAAGGTCAATGACATGTCATAAACATGTTTGTTTTTTAAATAAATAATTCAAGTATTTATAAAACATGTAAAGTCTTTTTCTTACATTTTTAATATTTATTTCCAGTTTCAAGAAATTTTCTGGGTATATCTTACACATATTTTTGCTGAATAATATAACTTGCTTTGTGAAATCATGGAAAAATTTAGTTATTGCAGCATACAGCTAATTTATTGATGTATGAATAAAATTAGTGTGACCATTTATGAATTTCAAGCACTGTTGGAGCATCACACTATATAAGCCGCGTCACGACAAAACCAACATAATGGGTTTGCGACCAGCATGGATCCAGACCAGCCTGCGCATCCGTGCAGTCTGATCAGGATCCATGCTGTTCGCTTACAAACCCTATAACAAGTAGAGAAACTGATAGCAAACAGAATGGATCCTGATCAGACTGCGCGGATGGGCAGGCTGGTCTGGATCCATGCTAGTCGCAAACCCATTATGTTGGTTTTGGTGTGACATGGCTCATATGATGTATTCTGGTACATTCCGGAAGAGAGCCTAAATGCTTACATGCTAAAATCTTGCCTTTTTATCCACCAAAAATGCACTTTAAGACAGCTAATGTATCTCTCATATCAATTAAATATATACAATCATGATTAAAAATGTAAGAATCACCTAATAAAGCAATATTTTATCTGCTTAGTGATCATGATTTCTGTCAAGGGTCTAGAGGTACTGATCCAACACCATATTAAGGGTTAAATCCAATATAAATAAACAGTAAAAGTGATCAAAAGAAAAAAATATAGTAGTGACCCAAAGATAAGTACCTGTGTGAGATCTATATTTGGTGTAGTTTCACAGACCATAGCTAGCACCATTACAACCCATATCACCATGACGATATAGATACTACCAGCAGCTAGCAGTTCAAACGACTCCTCATAGTATCCTAGTATGATAGTTAGTCCCACAGCTTGAACAAAACACAACACTAGGTTACAAACAATCTGAAACAAACCAGATAATTATTTACCTTTGTCTCATCTGGGAGATAAGCAGAATTAGTGGACCATTATTCTGCAGGGCTTGAATTTAGCACTCCCAAACTAGCAAAATGCAAGTCAAAATAGAAAAATACCAGAAACTTTTCTTTACACTCACACACTTTTGTTAGTGTAGCAGATACATGTAGTTAATGAACATGCATGTAATTGATATAAACTTTGTAAAAATAAATGAAATTTCAACAAAAAAATTATTTTCAAAGGTAATTCATATGACATACACATGAGCAATTGTACAGCAGACAAATAAAGATATTACATAAGCATCATGTAGTATAATAGTAAATACTATGTTGTAACTAGAACTCCGCGAGTCGGATGTGTCGCCTTGTGAACAATATAGTTTAGGAGAAATGGCCAGGACAAAAATGAAATATGAAAATAAACAAAGGGCAATAACTCAAAAAATAAGAAGGGCAGTGTACTGGTTCTTGTGCACTGCACTTCTTCTTAATGAGATCTATCATCCTATGAAGTTTCAAGTCCATAGCTTTTATACTTTAGGAGAAATGGCCCGCACAAAAATAAAGTATGAAAATTAACAAAGGGCAATAACTCAAAAATTTAAAAGTGCAGAGTACCAGTTCTTGTGCACTGCACTTCAGGTCATTATAAGAAGCATGCATAAAAAGTTTGAAGTCAATCCGACTTATAGTGACTGACTTATGCTCTAGACAAGCTTAAGGGGATGCCGACGCCGACAACGATGCCTACAAAAGTAACCCCTATATGTCGCCTTTTTCAAGGTGACACAAAAATGCAAGTTCAATTTAGTTTTTCCAAGTTAGAATTTCTTGTACTTACAACAAAAATGTGCAAGTAGAAAAAAATTAAAATCTAGCCCTGACTTATTATCCAATTATAAATATAAAGAAATTATTCTGTACATGTAGAGCTGGCTGTTTTGTCAATCAATGTTTATGATGTACATACAGGATCACTGTAATTTCCAAATGTACCTGTCATTTTAAACCACCTGTGAACATTTAAGACCATCATCCTTCATAGACATTATTCTTTTATCAATTTAGGCATTTGCTTTAAAATTTTTATGTTCTGAGTTAAAAACAGACACAAACAGTTTTATTATGTACAAATGTACCATAAAATATTATCCCTTAATATACGGTAGATAAAATATGAAGATTTTGTTGGTTATCATCAAACAGGAAAAACTTTGAAAAGAACTAAGCTTCATAATCTATTATAACAATAAAACATTTAACAATATGAAATAATTTTAAAGGGTCATCAGGCAATTTAGATTCAAAATTGTAATAAACTATCATTTGTTTGGTTAATTATAATGTGCATATTGTAAAAATACTACCAATAAAAAATATCACAAATATGTACTTACTTTCACATTTGTTCTATATCTTAATGAACTAACATTTATGGTATTTTAGGATTTTTCATATCATGTCTCTAAATTGCCAGTGATTTATACATGTATTAAAAAATCAAATAAAAAATATAAAAAAGGAACACACAATTGAGTTGTACCTCAAAAAAGATGTGAACGTTGAAATTTGGATGAACCCAGTAGCATGACCTAAACAAATGTTAAAACTCTCTATAAGAATAACATTTACACAATGTACATATTTCAGTATATTGTAACAGAACACATTTTAGTTACATTGTATGTAAGCCAGTACTAAATAAATAAAGTTTCTTGCTCAAGGTAAAAATTGCTTGCCTTGGGTTTCCTTTTTTTTTAGATTACTTGACAGCCTAGTTTATCATTTGGCTTCACCATCACATACAAATGCTAAATTGTCTTAATCAATCGTAAAACAAATGTTGACTATATGATATCTATATTTATGGGATCCTCAAAGACATGATATGAAATATTATCTATTATGTAGAATTTCTAATTCATCATTAATATAGACATACATATTAAGAATACTAACATTTTCTATATCACGATATGTTCCCAATTAGGCTAGGATAACAACCTGTTATTTATATAGATTTACATTATTTATACAGAAACATAAATTTATTCATGCATAAAAAATAGAATTTAAAGAAATATATAATGTATATAGTAATGATATATTACCTATATGGTCGTAGAACAATAATTGCCAGCAAGTAACATATAGACATTCCCAGCTGTGTAACTATCTGAATAAATCCACTGTCCACATGAAAAATCACAATATATCATTATAGTATGATATTAAAATGTATAAGCACAATGCAAACTAAGCTGGTAGACAATATTATATAAGTTTGATATCATCCATTCTATACTGATTCAAACTGGTATTTCTGAATAAGAGATTTATTTGACAACTAGCTAGTGTACTGTTCAGATCTAACTACCATTTGTTCAGAAAGTGGACAATCTTCATAAAATGTGTCAGCCTACAGCTACTTTCTCCTTAATAAACTAACAATCATCTCTTGTCACTTTCAAGAAGAAACTCAGATTTATTCTTAGGATTATACTCAGTCAATATCACAGAAATTAACTGAAGGTATATTATAATATATTAAGCAGAAACATGTGACTGTGTCAGTAGAATAAATTCTTATATTACAAAATATGTTTGAGGAAAGATTACCTGAATGGATAAGCTTCTGTAATAACGATGGCAACAAGTTTCCGGCGCAGTGATATAGCTTCCCAGTAACAATATCTGTCCTTGTAAGACTCGTACACTGGACTGTAAAAGGAAATCAATGTAATATACAGACACTGAGGGTAAATCTTTAAACATCCCTGGTTGTTACCAGAATATAACATTTTTAAAAGCAAAATTCTTAAACTAAAGAGGAGATAACTCTTTAAATAAAGATGCTTTACTTATGAAGATTGTCATGACACATAATTTGAGTGTAACAAAGAACAATTATCTTATCTCTATTGTTTTCTTAGGTGGAAAGACAGACGGACGAAGGGTAAATATAACCATGAAAGAATCTTTTATGGATGTTGTTGGTATTAAGTGTAAGATACATTGATCCGATTAAACATATATTTTTATATTGCAGATAATAAACTGTTCTAGAATACAATATTATTATTCATTATATTAATGTTCATACTAAATCACTTTATCAACACATTCTTTTCAAGCAATATTTTGTTAGAATATCAAAATTATACATTTTTATCAAAGTTTGAAATACATTTGGAAACTGCCCAGCGTAGACCAATATAGGGTTAACGCACGTTTTTCCGTGTTATAACGTCTGCAGAGTCCCGAGGAACGGTTGGTGCCCGAGCCCGGTAGGGCGAGGGCTCCAACAGTTCCGAGGGACTCTGCAGACTTTATAACACGAAATAAACGTGCGTTGACGCTATTATAGCATAAAATTTTCAAACAGATTTGTGATGTATAGTTTATACAAAAACACAATTACATTAAATTTCTTGTGCTTGGACGGTATTTATCCAATTCTATGTTTTACGTATGCGTTTCATTTTTCCGGGGCCAACAACTTGGAAAAATTCTCGGAACCGAACGAAATTTTGAATTTTAATTGATTTAACAAAGCTTGGCCTTTGGAGATTTATTATCTCAAGAAAAAAACACGTTTACATTACTCTAACCCTCTACCCAAGACAAAACATGATCCTCAGAAATTCTTAGAATGATTTCAGATTGATGAGTGACATCAGAATCGGTTTATTTTTTTCAAGCAAACAAGTTTATAAAAAAATCAGGCACTAAGCATTATTCTTTCAAAGAAATATAAAGAGCATTAATCAATATTAACATAAATAAAAACATTTTCTCATATTAATTTTGTGTTATCTAGTTTTGTAAGTTAATCGGAGTTTTAAACTGAATGACAGGTAGATTCTACTGTATTTATTTACATTGACAACTGTCCGTTTCTTAGAAAGGGCGACAACCAAGATTAGCACCGATGTCTATACGCCGTTTTTTTCCGGCATATTTACTTGAATATGCGACTGAGGCCCTCGAATCAATAAATTTCAATATAACAAGAGCGCATGACTCTTTGGCAAACAGGCAAAATCGTCATTTTTTGTTTGTTTACTGGGCCCTGTATGTATTGCGCATAGGTGAAACCGGGCTATAACAAGAGCGCGTGACTATGTTAACACATGGTTTTGGTCCCGTTATAACATGGGCAAAATAGGGAAAAATAGCCGATTTTATGCTATAATCAACTTTAAAGCAAAAAATTCCTTGCTGTTAAAGTCATGCAATAGCAGTAACGGTGATAAATAATGCAAAATTAGTCAATAATGGAACAAAACATGTAAATTATTACTTGAGTCTTGATTCTTTTTATTTTTCTTAAAATCTTCATACATTTTTCTCAAGTTTGATTTTCTTGAAATATTTTGACTCATCTGGAGGCGTGCAGCTTTAAATCATTGCAGTTTACAAAATAAACCATTGCAACAGTTGAAAATTATAGCAGGAAAGATTAGTGCCTTAATTAAAAAAGTTTAGGAGCAAGATATGTACTATTTATCTAGTTTCATGGAAAATGAGTATATAAACTATATAGTATTTTATGACACATTATTTTGGAAATGATCAGGCAGCTATGTGTTGGAGAGTAGCTTTAAAGTTTAATGACATATTTGAATCTATACAAAAATGTGTACCTATACAGCCTCCATCTGCTATAAAGTAAATCCCATTTCTTCTGTCTTAAGGTGAAGAAAATCAACAATGGTGGAAGAACAAGTCCCATAAATACTAGGTATATACCAGCAAAGAAATGTATAGTCTGAAATATATATAACTGAGCAATAAATATTAAAATTTTTGATACACATATATGATAAAACAAACATTATAAAAGATTATTAAACATTATTCTGCTTGATTTATATAAATGTCAGCAGGCATCTAAATAATTTAATATTCTCCATGATGTCAGAAGTCTAACAAAAAGTATGAGCAGGCACTGTTATGTTTTACCCAGACCACTAAACAGTATATATTAACCATGAGGAGTTTTTTTACAAGCTGACTGTCAACAGTTTACAGTAGACTAGAAGTTTTTTTATTGAAACAATATAATTTCCTTTCTCGTTAAACTGTTATCATTATGTTCTAGTAAAGTACAACAGTATTAGAAAAAGCACACAGTAATTCGGACCTCATAGCATTAAAGTGACCAAAACATTGAATGGACAGCAGCTTTCAGCTTGAGTCTGGCTGACTTATTGGTCACTTTAAGGCTATGAAGCCCTGAGTGCTGTATTTTAGTTCATCTATTTTGCCTACAAGTATATTCTGCAGTATACATTTCAAGATTTGAAATCCTGTCTGAAATCAGACTTAAACACAATACCTAGGTAAAAAATACAACCAGTTACCTGAAACATAAAATCATTGCATGACACATCATTATCCAGAAGAAAGATATTAGTGGTGTGGTCCAAAACAAGCAACTGAAAAATTGACAATTAAATGAAATATTTGATTCTCTATAAATTGCAGAAATTGCAGAACCGTTTCAACATATACCTTTATATTTAGTTGAACATACTTGTGAAAGTTAAATATATTACTTATGTACTAACATCAAATATAGCCAATCTGTTCCATCAATTTTTAGCATTTTAAGCAGAAATTAATAAAGATAGGAAAAAATTTAAAACCCCTTATCTTAACAAAAATCGCCGAATATTAAGCATGCAGAAATTAGTACTTATACAGTATACACATTCTTGTAAGATTATATTGTTACAAAGTCAATGTACATATTTTATTTTGAAATCACAGAGATTCATTTTATTACAGAAGAGGTTAATGGTGTCTTTCAAAATTTCATTGGTGCAGGAAACTAATGTGTCACTTGGCGCATCACTTCAGGCATGAGTGGGCATCTGAGTAGAACCTATGATGTTCTGTCACCAAGATGGATTGATAGCTTCCTCACATGAAAGAATCCAAAGTCCCTGGCGTAGGATTCAAACCCACAGCTGTGAAAAATTCACAAATGACAAAACATCAAAACCCATTTCAGAAGTGGATATTGTATCAGATATATACTTACCGTAGGTATGGTATCTGAGCACATAAATGTCCTGATACATGAGAGAGTGACTGGCATATACATTGTAAATATGATCATGGCAACCAGTCTACGTACAGTAGTCCGTCTCTCCCATCGTCCTACACTCACTTCGGAACCTTTAGAAACATTGCGGGTATTAGACTGCTTCTGAAATATAGATAGCTAAATTTAGTTTTCCGCTAAACCTGAATCAAAAGAAGTGAACATATTTAACAATACATTAATACTGTAGTATTTATTCTGTTTCAAATTGTAAAGATAACGCTATTAAATAAGGCTTTTTATGGTAAAAAGAAATATTCATAGTTGTCTACCTTGTATTGAACAAATGTAATTCAAAATAACACATGACGTTAAAATAACGTCGGATTAATGTTAGATTTTGGTCACGACGTCGGCGACAAAAATACGACGTAAATCTGACGTTAAAATACCGATGTCTAATAGACGTTTCTTTTTGACGTCGTACTAACGTTTGGTTCTGGTCGGTGTCCTGACGGTAGGTAAAAAAATAACAAAAAATAATCCTTATTCGCTGTTGTAAACATTTAAACTTTTTTCAAATGTTATTTGGATTACAAATTAAGTGTTCTTATATAAATACAGACCAAGATCGCGGCGCTGCAACCTAATAAAACATATAGGTGGCGCTGTATATAGGCAAGTTACATGAATTATTGTTATGAAATCTATTTATAGCCACAGATCTGTTTACAAGTTCCAATCATTTAACGTTGTAATATTATCATTTGTGGTACATTATATGTATCAAAATTACGAGTTTTTAATAGTGCTTTAACATTTTATCATAGTAACAGAAAAGGGAAAGAAAACATAATTAACCTATAATTCGAATCTAAAGTCACGTGGATGGAAATTCAAATTCGTAGGCGTTACGTTTTGGCTGTCGGTCAGGAATCGGGATGCATTGATACGTGAATATTATAGATTTTCCTGAACAAAAAGGTCAGTTCAATTTATTTAGATTTATTTCTAGTTTGTATTTGATAAATAATTGCATGATTGCAAGCACTCTTAAATTTAATTATCTTTATTTGAACAGCTGAAGTAAAATGTCACACAAATTCGCGATAATGTCTAATAATAAATCTTTTTAAAATTGACATGTTTTAACTCTGCTTGTGAAGAGTTTATAATATGCCTTTCAGTACTACCAAAGAGAATGCTTAGTTTTCATATTTTGCTTAAACTGTGATGTTTTTGTCAGTTAAAATCTGAGAATTGAGAATGAATTTGTACGATTTCGAGCATTTCGGACCAAGACGTTTCGGTCCCAAATAACCCAAAACGTTCCGGTCCCAAATAACCAAAGACGTTTTGGTTCCAGACATTTCGGCATTAAATCTTTAATTTAAAACTATGAAATATTTAAGACTTCCTTAACTGTTCTTTTTCAAACGTAGAATATATACAGTACATAAGTTATAATATAATTTTCTTTTCAGGTAGTTAAAGTGTTGGACATGCTCTCAAAGGTCGGAGGGACGGAAACACGTGAATATGTAAAAAGAAACATATGAAAGTAAGATTTTTGTAAATTCTATTACATACTTTAATCCATACTAAACTCAGTAAACTGGAGTTTAAAAGCGGCTTTTTAAATGTTCAGCATTTATGTTTACTTTTAATTTTTGTTAAAGCTCTCTTATAAAAAGTTGGCAAAATTGTTCATTAAGTTAAGATAACCATGAAAACATTTTTGCTTGTTATTTTTACATGTTTCATAAATTTCTTTTTTTTCAGTGAAAATGATGTCACACACGCTATTGGGCGCTACAAACGCTACATATCCTCCGGACAGACGAGGGGTGCTGAAAGAAGGTCATATCTTAAAGCATCACAACTCAAAATTCGTGCTAATTCTCATGGATATCTAAAAGTTTAACTTTGTGAAGTAACTAAAAGGCAGCAATTTATACATTACTGACAATAATCAAAGGAGGTCAAAATATGCAAAATGGCACTAAATGTTTTAGAAATGCTGTAGAAATATAGTTAAAGTACTGAAAATCTGTCATCAATTGCTTGAAACATTATTATCAGAATCTTTTAACTTTTCTTAAAATTATAATATTTTCATTATTTTATTTGATAAGGCAAACTTTGATAGAAATGTGCATACATTGTTTTGTTCTTTAATATTTGTACATGTTTTCTTAGTTTCATTTATGTCATTGTTTTTGTAATACTTTTTGTTTTGTAATTAACTTAATATTTTATGTTTTATTTTGTTTAATTTATGAAAATTATTTAACCTTGCAGAATTTACTAAAATTGTATATATCAGCTTAAAATTGCAACTTTAATTTTAAATTAAAAGAGCATGAAACATATCTTTGCTTTTAGTTTTCTGTTATACATTTCATTTGAGGGAAAGTTACTTAATAAAATGAGTTAAATTAAATTCGATCAAATCAGGATTAGCCAGAAAATATTTATGACGTGGTGAAACAAAAAAGATTAGGGGAATGATAAGATGAAGGTCAAAAAAATATCAGATTTAGGGCAGAAAAGGGTTAATATTTAGGTCGGAAAATGGTTAGAAACTGGTTAGATTTAGGTCGGAAAATGGTCAGATTGAGGTCGGAAAATGGTCAGATTGAGGTCGGAAAATGGTCAGATAATGGTCAGATTTTGGTCAGAAAAAGGTTAAATAATGGTTAGATTCTGACGTCTACCTGACGTCAGATTATTACGTCAAAAAAACTTTCAAATCCAACCGTTTTTCCGACCGTCATCCGACGTCAGAACCTGACTTAAATCTGACGTCAGTATGATGTCTTGTGTTTGCTGGGTATATCCTGTGAAGTGTATTGGTATGTGGCAACACAATGAATAATTCAACTGAATTAAGTTACATATGACATAAAGTGTTACAGAATTTGTATTTGTTAATATAAATGTTCATGTTTTGCCAAGACATATTTCAAAATTACCAGAAAAAATGTGAAATTTCATCATTCTCATCTTTAAAGATGTTTTCGGGAGTTTTCATATATAACAAATGCTACTTTACAGTTATAATTCTGCCTAAATGTCTCTATGTTAACTCCCGAAAACGTATTGTAAGAATGTATCACTATTCAAATAAGGGATTTCATGTGCCTTTGTCACACATGTGCTAAAGATAACAGTATTAGGCAGAGTTAAAGACACTAGTTCCTCTTATTGGCTGACAGAAGCAGAAGTTCCTCCGATTGCCTGACAGAAAACAGACAATTTTTCAAAGTAGCCATTTATTACAAAAGTTTATAATAGTTTATGTAAATCAGCCAAATTGATATGTAGTCATAAGATTTTATACAGATGTATAGAAAATTTAAAATACTTGTTTTAAAAAGCCAAAAAAGCTGAATATAAAATTACATAAATGTAAATCACTACAATACCCAATTTTTTAACCATGGGAGGCAAATGCATTACAATCTATCATTTAATCAGAGGATTGTTTCTGGTATACTAAAAAGGTTTTTAAACAAAGGCACCTAATACAATTTCGTTGAAAATAATCACTGCAGATAGTTCTTACACCAGCTGACGGTACAGACTGGAATATCTAGCTTGAAGGTAACTATTACGACTGTAACAAGGCTTTGTCAATTTAAGCTAAACAGTCGCTTGAAGCTAGAATTATTCCTGTCTGTGACAACACCGTATGTTTGAATTTTTTCTTACATTTTACAAATAATGATTTCTAGAAAGAAACTACGAAAACTTATACTTTCATTCAGCACTTTTTTCTTATAGTTAAGTTTGAATTACAACTTCATTCATAATGGCAAAATAACAGTTGTCATTCAAAAGACGCAAGTCATTCATAAAAGGTGCAAGGGAATGACGTCATTTAAAACATGAGACATGCCTTACATGGGGGTGTTAGACAGGTTTTTCTAGCAGTGGTGTAAACAGTAGATTATTCAATCCTCTCTCATATGCAAGAGCATATTTTATCTTATTGCAATTTCTGCATATTTCATATCAAAAAGAAATGATTTACTTTAAGAGATATTTACAATATATCAATGTTCATAAATCTAATTAATTCAAGTTAGATATTAAAAGTCATAATACTATAGTAATGAATGAAGTAAAAGTTTGTTTATGTGGAAATATCTTACCAAGCTTGTATCCAGAAACTTGCCAAGTATAAGAACAACAACTGGAATACCCAGAGATATCAACCACTCTATATAGTATATACTCATTGTAGGCCAACTTTCAAACAAACATTCTGTAAAATAAATATTTTTTTATTATCAATATATATTCAGGAATTTCACTTTATTTGTACATCTCATGAATATTTTGTAACCTTGTATTTCTTAACTCTACCATATCCTAATATCACTGCATCAACAAATAAATAGTGTAACAAGAGCATATTAATTTGTCCTGTCTGCCTGTATGCAGAAAGCTAATAAATTTTCATTCTATAAACTGCCTACATACCTCTGGAAGCTTTACTTTGCTATATTGAAATATGACCCTGACACCTAGACTTTTAAGGTATTTGTTTCAAAATTTAGGATATTTTAACAGAATAATTTTCATATAACATAATTGGTCTTTGCATGGCCAGGGGAATTTCTGTTTTGCTTTCAGTATGTTGCAATATTTTACCTTTGTATATTAGTTGCAGGCTTATATTTGAAATTTGAAAAATGAACTTTAAAACTTTTGAAGGTACCATTTATTTCCAAAAATGATTTATACTAAACCTGGTTGAAGAATATTTGAGTTGAATAATCCAAAGTTGACTATACTAAACACTGATGGTAGATTCTTTGGCCAATCAATCTTGATGTGTAATGTTAGAAGCAAATTTTGAAGGAAGTGGCACAATAACTTCACCTAGCAAAAAACAAAATATAGAAAATAATAATTTATCTTAAACATGTCACAGTTAAAGTACATATATATATATATATAAAAACAGTTAAAAAGTCATTACAGTCAAACTGTATAGAAAGTACTTGTGGTACTTGTGCACTGATGTAAAATACAGCTTAAGCTCCATATCAGTTTCATGTATAAAATCAATGAGAACTTCATATTTACATCATAAAAATATGCATTCCTTAAACAAAGTTTCATAAGCATGCCAAACATACCTTTGTACAAACAGGATCTGTGAATCCCCGACACATTACTGTTCCAACAAGCAGTAAAAGGTATACTCCAAAACTTAAAGCTGACCAAGGGAAATTAGAACACTCAACACACAAACTGCCAACACGATTGTAACCTGTTTGTCATATGATTCACTTAAATATTTGACTTAAAGCTACATGCCTCCAGATAAGCCAAACAATTTCAAGCAAAATCAGTGTCTTACTTTGCAGAATTAATCAGAAATTTTTCTTTGCATGACTAACACAGAAAGGGCTATTTGACTTATTTTTTGTAACTTTGTAAGTGCCGTTTACAACATTTGTGTAAATTACTTTTTTTGTTCACTTCATAATATTTTACTTTAAAATACATTTTCAAAATTTTCATTAAAATTGGCATAAATCTGGTTGCATGCTGCTTTATATCAAATTCTCAGTAATTATTGAAAAGGAAGGTTTCTACGGATTATAATATATGAAATACAAATCTATAAAACTATTACCTTCTGCTTATTTTTAGAGTCCTCAAAAATCATGTTATACTTAACAAATGATTACCTTTCAATTATTGAATTACTGTGTAATATCAGTGTAAATCAGGTTTAAAACAAACATGAACATTTTCTGAAACAATATGAGCCACGCCATGACAAAACCAACATAATGGGTTTGCGACCAGCATGGATCCAGACCAGCCTGTGCATCAGCGTAGTCTTATCAGGATCCATGCTGTACGCTATCAGTTTCTCCACTTGTTATAGGGTTTGTAAGCGAACAGCATGGATCCTGATCAGACTGCGTGGATGCACAGGCTGGTCTGGATCAATGCTGGTCGAAAACCCATTATGTTGGTTTTGTCATGGTGCGGCTCATATCACCAATGATAGTTTACCTGTCACACATTTTTCACATGTACCACCAGTGGTTCCCTCCCTACACTGGTTGTCTGCAAGACAATTCTGGGGATATATGCATGCAGTACAGTGGAAATGCTCTGAAATTAAACCCAGAAAAACAGCTATTAAAAAGTAAAATATAATTATAAATAATGGGACTAACCTTTTACAGACAATTGTTTGGTAGTACATTATGAGGGTTAAACTCTCTATGGATAATATTTTCCTAAAATCAACAGAAAGTTTTACAATTTCCAGTTGTTTTTATGCTCCCTGAAGGGTGAGCATATTGTTGCACTTTTTCCGTCTGTTCGTCTGCTATTCTTGTCCGGGACATAACTTTGAAACAACAAGAGGTATCAACATGAAACTTTGTAGGAAGATTGATCTCATTGAGTAGATGTGCAGTGCACAGGAACAGTAACTCTGTCTTGCCTTATTTTGGAATTATTATCCTTTGTTTATTTTTACACTTCAAACTGTGTCTGGGTCATAACTCTAAAACAGTAGGAGATATCAACATGAAACTTTGTATACTTTTCTGTGTCCAAAACCTACTTGGGGAGCATCACCCGGTTCAACTGGCTCTTGTTTTATTAAATATTAAAGCAGCTGATCTCCAGAAGATAGCTGAAAAACTGCCGTCTTGCTATTATTTCAAAACCCCCCTCAAAACATTATATAGTTGAAAGAAATCGAATAACACTTCAAAATGTTCATATTTTAACATTATTGCTACGAAAACAAACAGTTCGCATTTCCACCAACGGGAAATACCTTCTTTTATTATACCACGGAATTCTTTTAACCGGGTTTTTTCTAGTATCACATGATCGTACAGGACAATATCGCAACATGTGCTCCGGAACGCACGGAATCCGGGATTTTAACAAACATATAGGGATACAAATAACTGCTTTTGTTTTATATATTTGTAGTAATTCATGGCACTAAAAATTATAATTGATTAATTATTTCATATATATGATGACCAATTTACCGATTTAACCTTTAGTTTGAAATGTGATAGGGGCCTTCTATGACAAAAATTGATAAACGATCCCGGGCATACTGGATAACGGGATTTTTCCGGATCACTGTTGTGACACGTGACGCATTAAATGAATTATCTTCTCCTATTTATATTGTCATAATTGGCCACTGCATCAGTAACGAAGTAGATTATGGAAAAGAAAACCTGATATAATTACGCTTTTGTCAACATTCTTTCTTGAATTAAGTTGTGAGTAATGATGGATCTATACAATAAACCTAACTATAGATCAGTATTTACCATTTACTTGAAATTTTATTTCATTTTTTTCATTTTACCATCTGGAGGTCAGTGGCTTTAAGAATAATTTAAAAACTAACCTTTTACTTATATATCTGTGTATCTACTTTATTGCAGTGACAAGCTTATTAGCTAATAAAACATTGTGCTTATAAGAAGAAAATAGTTGCATTCCTGCCACTTCTGTACTAAATATTTTTGTACTACTTAATACTTTAAAACTAAATTCTCAAACCAAATTAAAATTCAATTTACTTGCCAAAACTTTTCATTTTAATTTCAGATTTAAAAAAAAAAAAATTATACATAAAAAAGATTATAAATATATTCAGAATTTAATTGGAAATTGATATTTAATGTGCTTCTTTGCTAGAATGAGTTTAGGTCATTTTGCAGTTTGCATTATATTAAACAAGCATTGTAGGCAGGACAGCAGGCTAGATTATTCTCGGTGCCTGACAGTAAAACAAGAGCCTTCACAATGTAGAATTTTAGAAATTTTAAAAGTTCAAAAAGGGTCATAAGTCAGTTAAAATCCATGTAAGAATTATGGGCTTTGAATAATGATCTTCTATTACACACTCACTGAAATGTTTGAAGTTTCAACCATTCCTGTCAGTAGTCTTTGAGATACCAACTTACATGCAAAAACAAAGTGTGGCAACGACGCCTGGATGAGTACAGTAACTCTCCCTATTCTTCAAATAGTCAAGCTAAAAATAATTATTTTGAAAAAAATATAGATAGCGAATGATTGAAAATTTTGCAAAAAAGATTTTAGTATAACCTTTAAACTGTATCAAAATCTCAAAAAGATATATATCTACTTTTTATCTAGTCTCACATCAAAAAAAACTCAGTGCAGTCCCTTTAATAATGATCATTATCCATTTATATACAACATAAAAGTACATTATATTTCATTTATACTTGGTAACAAAAATGAGTCATAAAAGTAACAAAACATAAAGGATACTGGTACAATAATTGAAATAAAGTTATTTATAGTACACAAAGCACAGTTGTTCAAGTAGCCATATACCTGATTCATTCCCACTGTTGTCATGGTTAGCACCAGTAAAATTTCCACAGTGAGTACCAGCTTTTTGTAGTTGCTGATCTTTATGTCCTTGTACATTAACCAACAAGCACACTGTCAACATGATCTTACAATGCATTACTGCTATATCTGAAATTATTATTTATTTATTTATCACATACAAGAAATGTTCCATTTAATTACTCTACAACATGTAATGATCAAGATGGTTTAAACATATTTATTAAAGCTCGATTGGGAAACAAGTTCTTGCAACTTATATTAATCACTTTTGAGTCCGCTTCCTGGAACCAACCAACACTGGTGTCATACGAAAAAACCTGGTTGTGACCCGAGTAGGGCTCAAACCTATGATCTCAGGGTTGAGAGGCAGACACCTTAACCACTAGGCCACCGCTCCCCTTAGTCCAACTAATTGTACTGCGCGACGAGATATTGTGCTATTTTTGTGTCTGGGCAATATCTCGCCTCTACGTTAAAGCGAGATTCTGCCCCAGAACGAAAATATCTCAGAATCAAGCTTTGGCACGTCAATATATTTTGACTACCGCTCCCCTCAATAATCACGATGACCTACATGCACTACTGTAATTTTGGAAAAAAGACTAGTTCATGGAGTTTAACCCTGATAACAAACTAAGAAAAAGAAACCCTGTAAATTTACCTTATAACCTCCATAATATCCGACTTAAATCAACCGGTGAACCCAAGAAACAAAATATTTAAGAGTCACTATAAGTCAAGATCTTGGATCAAACATATAAACAACATGATCATATAAAATACATCAAAAGCAAATAACTCCCCTACATTCATTACAAGAAATGTTAAAACCTCAAATAAAAAGATACTGGTCAGGGACCATCAACCGGACACTTTTTGAACATTTTCCCATACAAATTTAATAATTTTAAAGCTAGAGATCTGAAAATTTGACACACTACAGCTAGGTTCTTCTCCTAACTAACAAATTAGTTTGTTTTTTTCTGATTATGTTGACACTTACATCTGAGGCCCATCAATGTGGGTATCAAAATTACCTAAATGGTCCTTTTTACAGTACCATGTATTTGGACAGATATGTACATGACATTGATTCAATTCAATAAAAGCTTGGGTGTTTGATTTTTTATTTTTAACATGATATACAACATTTCAGCAGCAAATGCTGAAGTTTTGGATAATTCTATTGTTTACTCAGCAAATGGATTATAGCTAGTATAAGAGGTCATGTATTGCAATCTTGATGTCTTAATTTTCAACATCAATGTTCTTGAAATAGACATTAAAATATTACCATTTAATTTAGCTAATGTTGAAATAAACTTTATCAAATTATAGAAGAAACATGCTTTTATTGTTGATATAAAGTGACTGATTGATCGACAACCATTGAACAAAACAAAAATATATATCAGACATTTTCTGGGCCGTCCGGATTTGGTGGTTGTCCGGATTTGGTGGTCCCCAACTAGCTCCAGTAAAGGAAAATTGCATATAAGACCTATGTAAGACCTCATTTTAATTACTATTCTATAGTTTGGCATCCTTGGCAGAAATACTTTATTAATAGGATTGAGCAAATCATAAGATCAGCTGCTACTGTAGATATGATTTTTTATGATTATGACTAGGCCTAGGCTACTGGATATATCTGACCTTAACTGGCAAACCCTTTAGCAGCATTGACCTTTTCGAAAACCTAGCTTAACACTGTTTTCCGGTACGTTACCGTTTTAGCTCTGGGGTACATAACACAGTTACGTGATATTTCGATTTTTCTATCAGTATTTAACCGTAAAAAATTGATGTTTTTGAAAATTATCAATATTCCTTTAATATCTATTCCAAATTATTCAAAAAAATAAATTGTTTATAATGAAAATCAATAAAATTCAAACAGAGGTAGTGGAATCTTCCATAATAAATAAGGTTATTTTCTGCGTTAACTTGTGTATTTACTTTATTTTTTGTATGGAATTATTCATACAATGATATCTAATTATTTTCTTATAAAGAAATAATTACTTTATTTCAATTTGATTTTAAAAAAGACCGAAAACTTCGAGTTCACTATTACACTCGGTCTCAACCCGGTACGGAATTAGACCCAGCCCGTTGTAGTCTAGAAAGTAGTTCTTTTAAATTTTGAAATGGCCTATTTCAAGTCATCTTAATTGATACTGGTTATATTTTAAGTATATCTTTAGTAATTGTGTACATAAAGTTTCATTTCTGAGTACTTTAAAGGTTGTTTTTGATGTATTTTTGCAGGATTTCATTTCTGGGTGGAAGGTTTCAGGAGGCACTATGCACAAGAATACACACCAGTTACTATTTGGAATAATCTATAGTGATTACAGAAATTAAAAGCTGCAGAAAAACTCCAAGGGCTAATGTATTATTTTTTTGTGCTAAATTTACTTGGACTGCATTGGTGTTTAAAGAAATGGTCATGAAGTTTCGGTACCGGATTTGCTTTGTCCAGAATTTAGCCTTAAATGTGATGGATTTACTATAGGATATATGGGTCGAAAATTCAGTGGGCCGTCTCCTAAATATAAGAAATGAAAAAATGGGAACTGGTTGATGGATATGGATGAAACTTTGCATCAGTGTTGTGTTTATGAATAGAAGTCAGGAAAATAAAGGATAACTGACAGGTTTGAAAATTTTAAATTTTATTTCAAATTTTAAATTTTGACATTTTAAATTGGGTCATATGTTGTTATTGTTATCTCCCCTTCAAATGTAGATGTCTGCTACTGTGTCAGTAAGCAGGGAGAAGGGTACAGAGCTTTTGCATGAAAGATTTACCACATTTTATTGAATTAAAACTGTAAAAATGAATTTAAAATTAAAAAATGAAATTTAAATTTTTTAAAAAGCAGTTTATAAATTGATAAATGTTATTTTTGCACCCTGTGTTTAGCAATATACAATAAATCTAGCTTATTTTTATAAGATTCATATAGAAAATGATAATATTTAGAGAAATGCATCTTAAATTATGGATAAACTATGCATTGCAAGGAATTGGGGAGTGTGTGGTTTCAGATTGGTTACATTGGTAAAAAAGTGATTGGCAAGCTCATTCCAGAGATCTTAGGGGCCCAAGAAGCACCGGCCATGGGATTCGAACAAGCACCATAGTAGCATATTGCTCATATGGACCACACATTATATGTTTTGATGTTTCAGCAAAGGATTGATGCTGTAGTAATCAGTATGTAAATATTCACTATTGTCTTGTATTTCAATGAAGCAGAACTGACAATTGAACAGGACAAATGTGATTTATATTTTGGAAATATAGGCATTTTCAGTGTACATGTAGTGAAACTTGGTGTTTTGCTGTGTTGCAGAATGTATTTGCTATTTATATATACACATTTTCTAGTCATTTAAACAGTGTACTTTATGGATAATTGGCTCATTTAGAATAACACAGTTGATATGATTGTTGTTGTTGTTCAGTCAATGCGAAAGTCAAAAATTTTTTCCGGCCACAAGGACTGGGATCCTTAGATTTATTTCCGGTCCTGATGATTTTTTTCCGTCTCGGACTCTGAAAGGTATTTTTTTGTAGGGGTGGGGGAGGGATATTGCAATAATTATAAACAAAAATATTTAGAAAATATGAATTATCAGACTCAACTATCAGGTACTATGAAAAAAATATACAAAAACATAATAAATAAAAATTTAGTTTAATTCACAAGAAAACGATATATTTTTCAAAGGTTGGAGAAAAAATATGTTTTGGTAAGGAAATTATCCAAGACAAGATGGTGGCTTACATTACTTAGCAAAAACTGGTTGTATCTTGCAGTGATTTTGGTTATCTGGGTCTGTGAATACAAGCAAAAATGAAAAAAAAGATCGATCTTGGAAGTTTTGCATATTTCAGAAGGCCAAAAATTGTTTCAAACTGGCTGAAATTTTATTCGGACATGAGGACTGACTGTATCGAAATTTATCTCGGCCCTCCTGATTTTTAGTTGGCGAGGTCCGAGGACCGACAGACTTTCGCACAGACTGTGTTGTTGTAGCTGCTACAGCAGTTAAATTAGGTTAGGTTTACAATGTCTAAACTGCTATTTTCATGCAGGCATGCATTTTTCAGCACACAATATTTATATATGCTCTCCAGTGTGAATTAGCAAATCTAGCCATTGATTAATTAAGACATTATTTTCTTTCTTTTTCAGATATCAGAATTACAGCATAAATGCCTCTTATAATTTTCTTAGGCATGTACTAGTGTTGCATATTTTTTCAGACTGTGCAGTTACCAAAGCCTGGGTTTGAGTACAGGACCTTACCTTATCCTGGTAAAGATCTATGGAAGGACTCCTTCAGCTCAGTTTGGCAGCAGCTTTGTCAGGACACATTGAGAAGGTAATAACTTATGTCTAGTTTGAAATTTCAGCTATTGACGGTAGCGACTCCCAATGCTCGGGCAATATTTGGTAGTTATTTTGATGTATATCAGGAGAAAATTTCTCTAATTCTGACTATATTAAGACTTTTCAATGATTTAAAGTGGGAGACGGTATGTGTCATCTTTTTTAAGCCTTATTTGTGTGAGAGTTGGCTAATCTTACTTTGTCAGAAGACATAGCCCATGGTGATATGGTAACCTCTTTGCTAACCTTAAGATTACCTCTGTTTGTCTTTATTGATATCTTAAGCAAACAATGTAGGGTGTGTATGTTGGTTCTTTACTTTATTTACCATGGTATATAGGTAAAAATCATAATCAGTAAGTTTTATTACAATATTGAAGGAAAAAGTTATGAAAAAAGCACATTTAATTGTGATTACTTGTATTTTAACCCAAAATTTCATGCTCTCATTTAAAGAAATGGAGTTTCTATTACAATTTTTAAGCAATAAGGTCTTATTCTTTCATAAAAATAACTGTATGACATTAGCCGGTAACATTTAACTTTATTCGAAGAAAATCCATTGACAGAATCAAAAGATATGACAGAATTTGTAATATAAATTTTTGCGTAAAATTCTATTGGCCGAGCCTGACTTTTCGCATGAAGGTTCATATTTAAGAAATTGTACTCCATTAATGTAATTGGTTAGAGACATGTCAAACCTATATGATTGTACTT